AGCTATTTCACTACTCTGAACCCAAAATGGTGCACTAGAGCAGGGTTTCTCAACCACAGCACTTGTGAAATTTTGAGTCGGATAATTCTTTATTGTGGGGTCTGTCCTGTGCATAACAGGATGTTTAGCAGCATCCCCGGCCTCTACCCACTAGAGACCCACCCGATCCTGCCCCAAGTTGTAACCACCCAAAATGTCTCCAGACATTGCCCAGTGTCCCCTGGGAGCAAAATTGCCCCCAGTTGAGAACTACCACACTAGATGACCTTTAAGCTTCTTTCTTGCTGGAAACCTTCTTTGATCATTTTAGAATCTGTATCTCAAGTCTGAGGCTTTAAGCCCAATGATTCATAGGAGGTACCTATGGTATATCAAGCACTCGTCAATATTTTCAAGATTCATTAAGCAAAGAATGATATGAAAATGAATAAAATAAAGAAATAAAACCATGAATGTTCAGAGAAAACTTTAAGCAGAAGGTATAGATTTGAAACTAAGAGAATCCAAGCAGACTCAACGGCCATTAAAAAAAGTAATAATGATAACTCTAGCTGTTGACAGTTTCACGTTTAGTTAAGAAAATTGAAATGCTGCAGAAAAACGTTCAATTGCTTTCTAATTTGGAATGAACTTATAGTACTAACAAAGCCAAAAGAGAGTATTTTGTGTGCAATGGCATATCTTTATTTTAAAAAAAAAAAGCCTAGTGTTTTATCTTTACATTATAAGAAATATAAGGATATCTTCGTATCTTTCTAAAAGGGATATTTCACTCTTCTGCACTAACAATATTAAACACAATTTCATAAAAGGAGACAAATTATCCACATCTTTACTATCTTTTTATCTTTCTAAATACAGCATCTTTTTATTTGCCATTTTATCAACAAGAACCCCCTAATATCTGACACTACCATACTTCTGAATTAAAGTTATTTATGCTCATGCCAATGACTTGCTACTGTAAGATCCTGACATCTTTTGAATTAAAAAGTGACTAAAAAAGGTTCAACGTTGTTTTACATTTACGACTCTTTGAAAACCAGTAGTTCATCCATATAGAGAAAGCCATCTATTAAACAGAATGTGTCACTAGCATCAACAGCCTACACCTGGCACACGCTAAATAGTCAACAAATGTAGGATGCCATTCTCATTATTTGCAACCATGCCAGGAAATAGGGTTTTATTCCAACCATTAGTTTGGTTTTACAGCAACTAAAAAGCACAAAGTATGAAAGAGGAGACTATCACACAATTAATATTCTGAGTTCACTTTCACTAGTAAATCTTAAATCATTACCTAAAACTGCCTTGTCATCATTTTAACATCCGTGTCTTTTCCCATGTGTTCAGATAGGTCCAAATTGAGTCACTCTACCCAATCCTCTTCCGCCGCTGGCTCCCCTTTAAATGTCTCCTCTGGAACTGCAGATACTGTGACAGCCACTGGAAGCTAGCTGATGCATAAGGTTGTCACATCCATGAGCTGGGTTCAACTAGTGCAATGTTCTAATAGACTGAGCCTTGACAGTGAAAGAAAAGGATGTGGTGCTCCTCTAGAGAGAGGGCTGAAATGGAGGGTCCCACCACATCACAAGAGCCGTTCCCCGCAGGTCTTTATTGGAAAAGGCACTGGGCTAGGAGTGAGAACCCCGGGATTTTCATCTCAGTTCTTTTTATACCATAACGATTCAAGTCAACACCTCCTACCCTTGATCTTCTAGAAAACTGAACTCTGAGATACTTTCCAGATTTAAAATTCTGCAAGCCTTTGAGTCTTTCTTTAAACCAGATTGCTCAATTAAATTTATGTTTAAAAAAAACACAAGAGCCCTTTTAACTGACTTTATGGGGGGAAATGGATTTAACTTGAATGGCAACTGTAAAACAGGAAGAGTTATTTTTATTTTTTCAACAAATATCAAATAGACGGGAAGCCAAAGTTAATTTTATCTTGTGAGAGGTGGGTTGCTGGAGATCACAAACTGAGTGGGGTATTATTACAAGGTGCAACTGCATACAAAGGCTGAAGCTGACATCTATAAGTAAGGGCTGCCTAGGACCCAAGTGAGCTTTTTCTAATAACATTTTCAAAACAAATAATTCTGAAATGATTAATGTGGCCAAGATCACTTCACCAATCCCTTTACGGACATCTTTTTCCCACTGCCTGTCCTCCATCCTCAATCCTGAATCTTCTTAACAAATTAGAATAAAGCACATTGAATGATCTCCCCATCATCTATGACTGGCTTCAGGACCTGAAGTCATTTTGCTAATCCCAGCAGATTTATATCCAACACCTGATGAAACACACACGTACACAAACAAATTAGTCCATCATCTATATGTTCCATCTATCTCGAGGACAGAAAAAAAAATCAAAAGGCTAGTCCCTTTACTATGACATCTCTCCATATACGTAAAGAAATAGAGCCAGAATGCAGGGTGAAAAACTCACAAAGAGGAAGAAGGCATAAAAGGAAAAATGTACTTATGCAAATACTAAAGAGATCTATAAAACTGCAATCTGAGAATTTTCTTATTAAGCTAAGCTTCTTAGTATAGAAATCCCCAAAACTCTCCAACCGGGCAGCTAATTGAGAGTTAAGAAGAGCCAAAAAGACTTCCCTCTTTTTCTCATTCATCATAGGCAGTATAGAAACCCTTGCTCAATATGATAATGTGACTTTTGTCAATGCATGTTCAAATCAGATAGAGGATTGGCTGGTGATGATGTCATACCCATGGGTTAATCCTCAGTGAATGCAGTTTTAATATCATATGCATCAACACATAATTTACATAACAAAGTATTATATTAAGTATAACAATAAATGAGCTGTGCAGATAAAAGCAGCTATTAGAGAAAGGCTATGTGCCACTGAAAAGGAAGTGGGGGGACGAAGCAAAGACTTTTTTTTTTTAACTAAATGGAACTAGGTCATCAAACAATACACATCTCTAAAAAGAGCAAAAAATGAATATTGAAATTCAAGTGACCTAGAACATTCTAGTACTAGAAATATGGAAAGGTTGCCTCCAATGGAAAATATTCAATAATCAAGCAGAGATATTTGTAGGTGTTTTTGTGTGTTGGGGAAGAAGTAAAAAAATTAAAGTCATTCAAAAATCAGTAAATTGGCAGCCACTGCTTTTCTGGGAAGGGCAACTTTCCTATCTTTTAACAGGGAAAATTGGCCAAGGCAAATCATGACTTAAAACCTTATAATAAATTTTAAAGTGTCAAAGGGTAGTTAGGATGGTACAGAGGGTAGAGAGCAAAGTCATGCAAAGCAGAACAATGAGACAGAAGAACTGAGGAAGGAAACCTTGAAATAGAGCTTTCAGCTGTGAGAATATTGATCAAGAAACGTCCACACTTACGAAGAAAGCTTTTTGCACAAATGAGCAATGCCAACTCCCACGGTCAGTTTGGGAGGACATAAGTCATCGTTAGTCATAATGAGTCTGAAAACTGCTCACACGCTGCCTTATTAAGAGCTGTGTTTCCAATCCAAAGGAAGTATTGGGCTTGCACACTGATTTGACTACAAACTTGGCAGAAATGCTTCTCACTGTAAAACCCACTGTGAGCTGTTGAAGAATTCTTCAAGTCATACATCTGTTATCAAATGACTGAGTAGAAAACACTCATTATATTGTGAAATGGATGTTCCTAAATTATTTTAGCCCCTTTTTTTTTTAAATCAGGCCCTGCCTGAACTGGGCTCAGACACACAGACAAACTGTCTTCACCTCCTCACCCCTCAGAGAGTGGTCTGGAGGGGGCCAGTGTGATCAGAAAGCTAAGCCATCAACGTGGGAAAGTTTGGGTGTCTGAGTCTGCAGGTGGGGGGCTTCGGGTTGTTGTGGACAATCCCTGTACCAAGGATATTAGAGAAAGAACCAGACTAAGGCTTCCAACACACCCATCCCCACACACCGGGATCACTTATCACATCACATCAACCTTGCTCCTCTTGGAGGGAGGGCCATTGAAATGTTAAAGAGGAAAAGAGTAGAGGGACACAGAGGCTTCACGGGAGGGGTGTCCTTAAATCTTGGTGGGGCATGGGCACATGGGTAGGTCTCAGTGAGTCCATGAACCTGTGCATACACATCTTGCTGGGGAGTTGATTCAAAGCTTGGCTAAGGCTCTCAGAGGGCTCCTTGGCGCCCCTAAATCAGTTAAATGATACCGATTCAGGAGAAAAACGCACCAGTGGCACCGTGTCTGGCCTGGGCTGCCTCCCTAGAAGCGGGATACCAGTCTTTCCACTTCCCATCCTCCCCAAGGATGAGCTCATGGCTTAGGGTTAAAGATGCCCTCCCTTCCAGGAGTGGATTGACATGGCAAATGATGCAAGAGAAGGTCTGAAAAAGAGGGGAAGAAATGTAGACACGCCGGCTTGGTGGACAAATCCGAGGTACCTAACTTGGGAAGAGACGGAACTTGCAGACCCACTCCAGTTCTCCACTACGGCGGGAAGCTTTGCGCTCCCAGCTGGAAGACGCGTCCCGGACGCACGCGGCGTTCTTCCAGCAAGAGCCTTGCAACCAGGGGTTCAGGTGTAGGCTAACCTGCTCCCTCCCGCCGGCTCCTACAAGGATCCTGGCTCAGACCCGAGGGATGAAGCTCCAAAGCCGGCTTCTCCAAAACAAGAGCTCGCCCTCCCCCTCCTCATACCAATCCATCAAGTGGCCTCTCCCGCATCCAGGGCAGACACGAACCCCGAAGTTGGAAGCGGCTGCTGCCCCTCTCCAGCCACACATCCTCACTTCGAAGCGCGGCATCCAACTTCGGGGTGCACGCCAACTACGGCACAGGAAGTCACTCCCGCACTCCAGAGGGCCGGGATGAGGGGGGCTGTCCTGAGTCAAATCGGTATCCGCCCGAAAGGCAGCTGCTGCCCACGAGACAGACTGAGCACCGGGTCAAGACCACCCCAACCCCATCTTCCCGTCCCCTCCTTTCCCCTTGCAACCCTTCTTACTCGACTACAGCCGGCAGCCAAGTCGGACCCGCAGCCTCCAGGGCAAGGCACCGATCTCCGCACCGGAGCGGGGGGACGCTCACCGTGCCGCCTCCCCGCGGGCGCCCTGGGAGTGGCCCATCACCTCCGCAGACTCTCTGTGAAAGGAAGTTCCCACGTCTCTCCAAAGACAAGCCCGAAACTGCTGCAGGAGAAGCAGCATCTGCCGAAGCGGCCGCTGCGACTCCACTCTAGGCGTCCGTGTCCGTGCGCCCCGTCCAAGGCTGCGCGCAGCTAGCAGTGCCGAGCCGAGCCGGGCGAGCGCGCCGGCCGGGAGGGGCCGGGCCCGCCGCGGGC